CCCTAGACACCCCGCATTGCTAGATGCCTTCCCTAGACACCCCCCCGCATTGCTAGATGCCTTCCCTAGACACCCCGCATTGCTAGATGCCTTCCCTAGACACCCCCCCCCCCCCCCCCGCATTGCTAGATGCCTTCCCTAGACACCCCGCATTGCTAGATGCCTTCCCTAGACACCCCCCCGCATTGCTAGATGCCTTCCCTAGACACCCCGCATTGCTAGATCTTAGATATCATTAGCCGTAACCACTGGGTGCTGCCAGTTTACCTTGGGACTGAGGATCTTCTCCATACTGTGGTAGCTCTCCATGTCCTCCTTGGAAACGACCTGCATCGAGGAAAGCACACGCACACGCCGGGGTAACTATTTACCGTACACCTGGTCCAATGCCTGCATCGTTCTCATAACGCCCCGCTAAACCTGTGCAGTGTACACTGTAGAGAAATGGTGGCTCTTGTGCTTATTTATATTTATATATCTTTTTCCCTCAAACCAGTTAACCAGTTAATATATATATATATATTTTTTATATTCAATTCTATCTCAAAGGATATGTACGCAACCCTGGTATGGGGAGCGGCCCACGAGATGAGGGTGAGACCCAGCCAAGGCAAACTTACAAGAAAAAAATTGTGATGGGGCAATTGAATGATGTCCATAAACCGTTGATATAGTTCTTGGGATAAGAAGACTGGTAAGTACTAAATTTATAGCAACGTTACTTGGAGGAATGTGATTGTTCTTATTAGTGTGTGTGTGTGTGTGTGTGTGTGTGTGTGTGTGTGTGTGTGTGTGTGTGTGTGTGTGCGCGTGTGTGTGTGTGTGTGTGTGTGTGTGTGTTTAAATGCCTTACCTCCCAGGTTTTCGAGAGACGTCGGATTGCACTGCAGCCGAGGCCAGCGACCAGTACCGAAAGCATACCACTGTAATTGCGCAGCTGGTGAAGGTACTGCACGGACAAATATGTCACAGAAAACAATTACAGGTTGACTACGAGGAAGAGTGCATGCATAGATGAAAGCTTGCTGGAAGCCATATTCTGGGGTGGGGGGGGGGGGGGGTACAATAAACACTTGAGAATGAGAACTGGTGCAGCACTATCGCTTGTAGCTGCAACAGCAGAAATCAGAAAACTGACGTTGGCTCACCTTAGCGGCTACGATAAACTGACGGATTATTTCAGCCCGTGTTTCAATAAGAGGTTCCTGAAGTATTGATACGGCCACGAAGCTTGCAATCTGCAGTTGGAAATCAGGTCCAGGGGAACACGGTGCGGACGATCGAATAACGTTAGTAGGAGAACATCATGAAAGTGATTCAACTATACCCACCAATAAGGGGTTGCTATATTCCGTTCAGCCAATATGGTTCCAGTCAAATGACCCTGCATAAAGAGACCACCTGGTAACAGAGACCACCTGGTAACAGAGACCACCTGGTAACAGAGACCACCTGGTAACAGAGACCCCCTGGTAACAGAGACCACGCTTTGGAGATCTCTTGACACTACAATTGATACTGGATATGACCAGGCTGTCTCTAAAGGATGGAGATCTCTCATTGCCGCGGCCGGCATCATGGTGAGAGCCGGTGTGGATAGCAGGCAACACACAGACTGACCTGCTGCGCTAACACCTAACATACCTGTCCCAGGTGCTGTGCGCAGCGTCCCACGGCTACACCGGCCTGCAGCGCGTCCTTGGAGGACACCTGGTAGGACTGCGATGGTTGGAACTTGTGCAGGAAATCCGGCAGGGTGATCTTGCAGAACAGCGCTGCCGAGCAGAAAGAGTAGCGATACACCAGAAAAGAAAACAATGAAGCAAGTGTTAGGTCACTGACCATGGATTAGGAGGTGCTCCCACAATGCTCAGGGGTGTAGCTGGTCCCCCTTTTAGGGGGGGGGGGGGGTGCACGGCCCCTTATGTGTAGGATGGCTGGTGCATGTCATTCATGGTCTTTGTGTGCATGCTGAACCTAGGTCGGATTTTTTAGGGGGGGGGGGGGGGGTTAATGTGCCCCCCCTCTCCCCCCAGTGCAGGCTACTCGCCTGATTCTTATGACAATAGAGTGAGGTCCGTCAGATCAGGTGGTGTTGTAAGGTCATCGCAAGTACATGTTAGAGCTGGACCATCTCGTCAATGTGCCAGTGCAGCAAAACAAACAGTAGAACATCTCTCATGGCAAAGGTGAGACAGGAGGAATTATTCCGACCATGGGCCATGACAGAACGCATAAGGAATTTCCATATTCCTAGAACTCAACAAAAAAAGAAGTACATGTTTGGAAACTATACATGAGCTTGCTCGCATACCATGATCAATAAGTGTCATTTGCCGTGCCAGTTCCTTGGGAATCTCCAACAGGGCTGTTGATCTGTGCGCAGTGACGTGGAGAGGTGGAGAGCGCACCCAATACAAGTCAGTGGTTAGTACATGTACTCATGTGCATGGAAAACGTTCAAATGCGCTTGTGCGCTCACACACAGATACACCAATACATAAGTCTATAAATGTTATGCGCACACACACACACACACACACACACGCGTGCACACACACACACACACACACACACGCGTGCACACACATACACACACGCGTGCACACACAATGTCAATCCAGTCTGTATGCATTTTCACTTGGCATACTCACGTTATTTGCACCAGGCTGAACCCAGGGGTCAACACTGGATCCGGCGAGCACTTGCATTTCTGACGCATTGCCACACGGTGTGCAGCATTGTGTGCTGCGTTGGGACCGAATCGCTGCAATGCCACGCCGCCCACTTGGTTGAGTGTAGCTGTGGATGCCGCGATTACGTTTGCGGAGCTGGGGCTGCCGATGCCGGCACTTCTAGCAATTGCAGGACTCTCGTGCAGTGGTGAGGAGGATGTGAGCTGGGTATTGCCAGGCATTGCCTGGAATCTGTTTAGGGTATCATTGCCCCAGAGCGATGGAGACAGTGGCGACTGTCCCGCACGGTTCTGATACTGCTGTGCATTTTGCGGCGAGTACCCGGAGTCGATAGCCAACCTTTGTCGCTGCAATGTCGCTGGACTGTAACCGCTCTGCTGTGCGTTCAGGCCGGTGGCGAGACTGAAGTGATGCTGCGGGCGCGGTGAGTTGGAGAAGATTGGGTTGCGCATGAAGTGCGGTGAGTTGGAGAGCGGGTTGTAGCGCGGCATGTCGATGAACTGGTCCACCACACCACCACCACCACCACCACCACCACCACCACCACCACCACCACCACCACCACCACCACCACCACGTCCTCCTGCTCCTGGCGTGGCCTTCTTCTCGGTTGCAGCATGCCTGGCTTTGATCAGAGCGGAAGGGGTTAGGCACACTTCGCTCTCTGTGTGTGCTCGCTGTCTGCTGTGTGGACGGGATCCTGGCTCACTGCTATCGCTAGCCAGACCGCCGCTTTTCAGAGGCGTGGACGTTCTCGATAGCGACGATTGCAGCTCGGCAACAGTGTCCTCCGTGACCGCTCTGGACCTGGGCCGACTTCCTGGACGACTGGGTGGTCCATGCGACAGGGCGTGGAGGGAGTCGGACAAGGATTCCGCCGACACCGGGTGAGAATGCTTCATTGACGACACGGAGGCCGAGCGCAGCTTGGTGAGATCGCCGACCGAGGCGCTGATGACCTGTCCGTTGCCGCCGGCCGCCGCTGCTTGCGCAGCATTGCTGTGACGGTTGCTAAGAGGCGAGTCCAGCCGTTGTTGATTGGCCTCCGCTGCCGGCCGTCGCAGTCTAGGCTTGCTCTGCTTGGCTGAGCTTGCTCGGGCTGCGCGTCAACATAGCAGAAATATACTCTGGGTAAGACAGAAGCATATCACACTTTCTTCTTGGTCTGCACGCAGATTACCGCAGAGCTTTCATTGCTAACGTTACATGGGCGTTTTGTACATGTTCTTTGAAAACCAGACAACAAATCTGTTACATCACATAGGGCTTGAAGTGATGACGTCAAAAGTCAAAATCTAGCGGCAAATAACGACCATTGGATCCACTTAGGTCCAGTTTTTGTATCATGGTATCAAGTGCATTTATCTCACTCCCGATATTTGGACGGGTTCAGCTTGAGCTCATACCTCTCTACATGTACATGTTTTTGTAAGTTAATTACCACTAAAGTTTCTCATGCCCACCCAACCACTGTGTGCTTCAAGCTGACCAGCATACTAGCACTCTATGTGTTAGGGTACCCTGTAAGAAGGCCTTACCGTAGTTCCGCGCATATAAGCCCATGGGCTAATATACGAAATAATGCATTTTCCGGGAAAATATATCAGTAATATTGGTTCGTTTTTTAGCCCTGGGCCTATATTCGAATTTTGAAGGCAGCTGGCACGCGAAAAAGTACAAGTCCGTGCGCGGTTGTCCGCCTACCATAGGTACCGGTACTGGTAATGTAGTCTTCACTGACATGCTGTACTACGGTGTTTGGGTCTGTTTATTAGCCCATGGGCCTATAAACGAAGGTGGGCTTATATCCGGATATAGGCCCGTGGGCTTATATGCGCGGAACTACGGTAGGCCTGTGGGGATTGCCCTACCAAAAATTTGATACATTTGATAATAGTCAGAGAATAAGAGAGCATGTTGGCTTGCATGGAGCAGATTTACGAGAATTTTTTGTATTCGTAATTCATTTATTTCTGGATTATAAATGACAGGCATGTGTATAGAAACTCTTTTTTTTGCGTGAAGGGACGGAAGTACTGCTCCGTCCTTTCATCTAGAATAGCCGACCAGTCTTTCTCTAACCTTTCTGCTTCGGATCCGTGAATCTCGGTGCACTTGTCCAGGCATCATCAAAGCCACTGTGATCGCTGCTGAGAAATGTGTCGGCACCTGGTGAATTGTCCAGCAAACCACCAGTGCTGCCCTCGTGCTGACGTGAGACAATGCGCCGTGAGGACGTTGGCCGCGACTGACCTTCCAGGAACGATGGTGATGACGCGGTGAAGGACTGCGACAACGCCGGCGGGCCACCGGAGCTGGAGAAGGGTGCTCGGAAGCTGGCGGACAGGTCCATTTCCTGCTTGGTAGCGTTCATGGACAGAGTGCTGGCGTCCTGGGAGTAGAACTCCATCTCGTCCTCTTCCTGCAGGGTCTGCGTGAGCTCCTTGAGCGTTCGCAGCGGGTCCGTGATGTCATCCTCGGTGTCGTGATCGTCATCCTCGGTGTCTGAGCACAGGTCCTGCTCATCGTCGGTGTTGTCCCACTGCTGGCTGGCTTCCTCGCCCATGACCTGCTGCAGTTGCTTGGCGACCGGGTCGCTCTCCTCCTGGTGACGCCGTGTGTCCATCTGTAACGTTATCATGAACGTCTCGCGCACGGCACGCGTGTGAGCCAGGGAGCAGACGGCGTCCAGGCCCCAAACGCCCTCCTTCTCTGCCAGCAGGGACCAGGGCGAGTTGTCCAAGTTGTTTACTTTCTGCACGGTGATGACAAGAAGGACATTGCGACGACCAGTAGCTTGTTAAGAGCAACCCATACACCAATTTTGCCTGGCTCTATCACTGTAAGAACAGGCCTTTATTAACAACCCTACTCGGATGGAATTCTTTTAATGCCGCATGTATCAAACATGTTCATGGATCACTAATATATACATCAAGTACAGCAGACTAAATGTTCAATTAGTGGTGGGGAGGGGTGGGGGTGGGAGGAGGGTGAAAGTATTGAAGGTCACGTTGCATGTCATCAGTGTGCTGCGTACCTGCCAGTCCAGCTCCTCAATACAGTGATCCAGCTGTTGTCGCAGATGAGATAGCCCACTGTACATAACACACACACACACACAGAGTTAAATTCACATATATTGCAATACACGAGCAAGGCTAGACCTAGTCATGTGACGTGTAATATTCATGAGTCTGAGAGACTGAAACATGCATACTAAGTACATGTAATAGCACTTTGTATTGTTGCTTCCAGAATCCAGACCACATGCACAATGCCCAACTGAGAGCAAGCCAGCCCTACATGAGCCTGCAAGTAGATGAGTGCTTCATTGTTGTGTTACAAGTACTGGACTTACGCTACCGACTCCAGCTGGAACACAGTGGTGGCCTTGCCAAATTCGAACATGATCGACATCTTCTCCGGGAGCGGCGTCCACTTGCGTATGTCCGTGAAGTGATGCGTCGACTGCAGAGTCTTCGTCTTCTCGTCCATGATGACCACGCAGTGGGGGCTCAGACCGAGAAGACGGCGGATGGATTTGTTGCGACCTGGTATCTTTTCCTGCAACATACATACCAGAGAAGCAACAAAATTAGCTTGTTAGTTATTTTTTAAATGAATTTATGGATTCTCCACAGGCCTCAGCCTAAATCAAGGGAGTCTCCGTTACATTTACGAGTACAGTCAGACCTCGCTTAACCGCACACATCTGTTTTCCATAAAAATATCCGGATAGGCGAGGGAACCGGATGACTGAACACACATACTGGATATGCATGTGGCATGTCAAAAGCAGTGGCATCGTACATACATGTAGATGAGTCCTATGCAGTACAACTAGCGTGCACAGTATGTAAAACAAGCGAGAAAAATGACAAGTGCAAGCAACTGAGTGCTATCCGCATGCATCCAGCAGGTCAACAACCTCATTTGCTTGCACAACTTCCTGATTCCTGCTTCTGCAACCGGATACGACAAAGCTTTTTGTACACGTTTTAACCATTTTGTACACAAAATCATGCACCGGTATGCGGATCGGGAGGTCCGGTTATGTTGTATGCATAACATATGCTGCACATTGGTAACCAGCAATTTTCTTCCGGATGGCGAGGGATCCGGATAAACGAGGACCGGATAAGCGAGGTCTGACTGTAGTTAAATTCTTGTATTAAATGGGAAGGTCTCACAGTGCCAGGGCACTAATGTAAAGGGGGTCAATTGTGAAAGCAGGAGGGCGGAGGATGAACGAAGCAGAACACCCCCCCCCCCTCCCCCCCCCCCCCCCCCCACACACACATATGCACATATGGGCTTCGTCAAGCCTGCTGGCGATCCGCTGCAAGCACCAAACCTTAATCGCAGATCTAGCTAACGTTCCATGTAGACTACTTGCTAACTGTGAGTGAATAGAGCGCAGCACATCTGTAGCAGCATATCTATGTACAGTGTACAGTGTAGCATGCACACATCTCCTCATACATGGTAGCATGCACACATCTCCTCATACATGGTAGCATGCACACATCTCCTCATACATGGTAGCATGCACACATCTCCTCATACATGGTAGCATGCACGCATCTCTTTATACATGGTAGCATGCACATATCTCCTTATACATTGTATCATGCACACATCTCTGCATACATTGTAGCATCCAGACATCTCTGCATACAGTGTAGCATTTTAACACATTGTTCCGTGACCGGCATACCTTCACTTTGATGAACACACAGCCAGCACTGTCCATGTTGTAGCACAGGCGAACATAGAAGTGCTTTGCATTGCGCTCCGACAGGCCACGGTCGGCAATCTGTTGATACACAGACTTGACCCTGCCATAGATGAAAAACACACATCATCGACAATATCAGCGAGGATGCTGCAGTAACGGTACACATACAGGCCAAGCCAACAACAGGCCGCGTGTACAAAATAGACTTTACCAAGGTGTTCATTTTTGGGGCCGGCGCCACTAGTTTTGCCCAGTTAATAGCTACACACTGTATTGAACACAGAGAAATGCCAACTGGCAGTGCACATGCATGTCAACCCATGATGATTCACCCAACAGAGCGACGCCCAGCCATGCACCTGGACAGGCCGCGGCATTGCGCTGCCGTAGGATAGACTTACTTCTTGAACACGGACTTGTTGCGCGATAGCTCTGCCGGCAAGCATCGCTTTGTCTTGATAGTCACAGAGGATCTTAGCAACACAGCAAGAACACGTACATGAAGGACAGGATACAGTAAGATGTAGCTGTGATAAGTTGATGTTCATTCTCTCGCAGCAGTTGCCTCTCCCTGCCTACACTGGCTATAGTCTTCTAGCTCTTCCAAATTCCTTGGAATTGTACTCTTGGTGGGCTGTTGAGTGTTTGCGTGCATGTGTGGTGCACATGTGAACCCAAGCCTTGCTCACTCTTTGCAGCAGTCTTGATATGCTGCCTGCCACACGGGCTGATATTGACCCTCATGGTTGGATCGTGACATTTACACAATAGACAAGCCTGCAGTGACAAGATTTTGATTTTGATTTTGCTAGAGGAGACACGGGGAACGTGTAGGACTCTTCACCAGCCCCTCCTGCTCAGATGCACCTGGTGCAAGTCAGTGGTGTATTGGGAGATGCGAAAAGGGAGTCGTAATAATTATTACAACTGCGTGTACACAGCAGTGGCTCTGACTAATACTTTGTAAGGACCTCACTCACTTTTCTCGTATCTTGAACTTGTTGAAGCGACTACGTGCCGATGCCACTCCAGCAATATTCTGAAATGAACGTACAGGAACACCCATGAACAACATAGCATAGGGGATACTGTCGTGATGATGAATACTAAGTATTGCTATCAAATAGCCCTGAGGGGGTGTTTTCACGACGGTCAATCGGGCCGTTAGTACGCACGCATGTGGCTGGGTGCTGAGAGCTTGTCAGAATGCCGCAAGCTGCGAACCGCGTTCACGCAGAGCAGTTCCATCTCCGGTACCGCGTGCGAGTACAAAGATTGGTGTACCGTGGCTTGTAGCATGCTGAAGTATACGCGGAATGCCACGTACTGTGTTTAGAGCTCGAGCCCCCCCCCCCCCCATAAGTGGTCACTCTACAATAAAATATTTTTTGTAACTGTGTGAAGTGAAGATGCATTACATACACACACACACACAGTATCAGATATGCATATGCCTGGCTCACCTCAATGTGTATCTGCAGCGCGGCCAGGAAGATAGCGTCATCCTCCTTGCACGGCTGCTCGCCACCGACAATCATCTGCTGGCACTGTGCGTACAGCTCGTTGTGCATGGGCAGTTCGCGTGGACGAGGAACAATGCCGTCTGGCAGCTCCCTCGGTCGTGCCTAACGGACACACCACAGGCAGCATAGAGGTATGTTACACAACTTACATACCTCCTTTTAGGCACAGCCTCAGGCATCTCAGCTTGATGTCCGTTCACCCTGACAAGCTACAACCCTGCTGGTGTCCACGTGGGACACAGAAGTAATTGAATGCAAGCCTGCTGTCTTCCTTTCCCCATCCTGCACAGGGGCCGGGTGTAGCTCGCACATCTGTGATGTGGTGACCATGTACCACCGGCAACCTCATAGTCGCCATTTTGCCTGTTTTGACTTGGTAGTACGTACGATGCATGACTTCAGTTCAGTCATTCTTTCAGTCTATGGTCTGTGCTACCTAGTCTTCCTGAGAGAAATCCAGTTTGCCATGTCACTCGGCTGTGTACTACACAGCCATGCTCGGGTGTAGTGACCGGAATGTACTGGGTCTACACCAGCTATATTACTCCAGCCGTCATCGCATCACAGCCAACTTACGGCATCCTTTAGGAGTTGCTTGAGCCGGGTGTAACACTCCAGGTAGGGCCCGCCAACTCGCTTCATCGGTTCCAGCACACTCTGTAGCTCCGACTGTGAAGAGGTGGCAAGTACGAACACAGCAACACACCAGAGACACAAGAGAGAACAATAGCCTGGTCAGTGCTCTGATTCCAACTTGCAGGACCGGCAGAAGCAGTGTTTGATTGGTCTAGCCATACCCTGGCACCCTAGCCTTTCATACAGTTTGGGTATGATAATAGTGGCTACACGCATGATCTACTCACAGTAAACACACGTTGGTGACCAAAAAGTTGTTCCGCCGGGCCTGCCAAGGGGTGCTACCGCTGTGCAATTGTGGACGTGGTGCCGCACAACAGTATCCCGCATGGACTCTGATACGTGTACTTGCGCAGTGCAGTCTTTTGGTTAGGTTACAGTCACTACTGTGCTTCTGTCAATGATGACAGCTCTAGGAACTGCACATGCCTAACATCAAACTGTTAAACTGTGAACGTATGACATCATACTATGCAGTGTGTCAATGTCCCAATGACATCATCTTCAGGGGAATGATGTCATAATTGCAATAGCAGTACTATGAGTCTATGACAAGGACATTCCTGCATAGTGCATACAGGGCATAGCAGGCTCACTAACCAGCATGATCGGAAACTCCTGGAACACCGCCGGGTACGTGTCCAGCCAGATCTCCAGCACACGCATCGTGTACAAGTGCTCTGACCTTAGCTGGCTGTTGGCGTCTATCGACCACATGCCCTGCGCTTCTCCCCAATCGTTGAAACGCTCGTCGTCCCAGTCGAACAAACTGAAGGTCCGTGGCTCACGAAACCTGTAATGGGCATTCCAGCAAAAGAGGATTCATCATTGTATAGTATGATACATTCATAGTTTTTCATACATACAGTCAACTTCACTTATAACGACACTCGGCGGGGCATCAAAAAGGTGTCCTTATTCGCGAAATGTCGTTATACCCGAAGTCTCATTCTATGTATTACAGTGGGATGGGACTTTGCTCTGGGCATGGAAATGCTGTCGTTATTCGCGAATTGTCGTTATATCCGCAGTCGTTATTAGCGAATTTGACTGTACACGTATTGCTTATAGTGGTGGAGGTTAGATAGCTATTAAATGAAGCAGTCATGTTAGATAGATAGAAAGAACTTGAAGAGAGAACTTGATAAAGAGAGAGAGAGAGAGAGAGAGAGAGAGAGAGAGAGAGAGAGAGAGAGAGAGAGAGAGAGAGAGAGAGAGAGAGAGGAGAGAGAGGGAGAGAGAGAGGGAGAGAGAGGGAGAGGGAGATAGAAGAGAGACTAGCTTACCTGTGGATGAGCAGGCGCAGGAAGATGACCGGGTGGACTATGGTGCGGTAGATGCACAGGACAAAGTCGATGATGCGACCCGGTGACATTCCCTTCTTGCTGGATGGGTTGGAGAGCGGGGCATCGCCTGCCCGACGGACCAGCGGCGGAGATTCGTCGCCAATATCCAGCGAATAGCTTGCACCCGTCGCCCCAGCGGCTGTGTTTGCCGGACTGGTTGCGGTGGTCGTTGACACGATGGGCGTTACGAGAGGCGCCTCGCCCCACAGCTTATCACTGTTGTTACTGGTCAGTAGCTCCACGAGGCGTTCGATGGTGACAGCCCTGGCGGGTGATGACGAGTCACTGTTCATGGTGATGATATCATTACTGGCCAAGATGTTCACTGCAGTGCATGCACAGTGACAGGAAGCAAGTAAACATGCATTAAGCACAGCTAGCACACTCAGATCTGTTAGGCAACCCGCATCCAATTGTGCAGACTAGAAAGCCAATGTTTAACAACTAGCTGGTCTGTGTACGTTGAAGTAGACAGATTCAAATGTAACTTATGATGAAACATGGTCTGCACCTTGAGCTGCCTGGTCCCAGGAGATTCTGGCTTCTGTTAGTGCTTTTTGGCAATATATACTGCATGATCGTGTCATGCCTGTTGCTGCAATGTGCAGTTGTACACTGAGGCATGCACCACGTACGAAATGAATGGCATAGCAAAGACAATGTTAGGTTGCTGCAGAAGCAAGTCCATGGCTTGTTGCTGCAGTGACAATGTCACGGCTGGCTGGTTTGTTTCTGTAGTATGCCTGACTTACCGATCTTAGGATCAAACAAGTACATGTGCCTGACGTTCTGCTTTCCCATGTAAACTAACAGGCGAGCAGCATGATACCGTTGTCTGGTAAGCAAGCACACAAACCAATATATTATACAAGATATAAATAATAGTGAACAAGCAGATAGTGCTAATGTATGGCTAGCAGAAAGAGAGAACTGATACTTCTTCCCCTTAGGCATAAATCCATCTTGACTGTGTGATTTGCCTGGTGTGTGCATGTGTGCTGTGCCCGGGATATCCATCAAAAACCATGCTTATCGCAGCCAGTGTCTCACCTGCCCGAACTGGAGGAGGATAGGAACTGATGCACAGCACCCGGGATGCCGTGTTCGTCCAGAGTGGCGTGCATGTCGTACTGCAGAGCAACGTTGGCGAGAATCTCCAAAGTCAGCGAGACCAAGTGACTGGGATCCTCCAGCGCCCTCTCCTTCAGCAGCAGCAAAGCGCTGTGCACAGGGACAGAACAACAATTCAAGACATCCAGATAGTATGCTTCACGTAAGACATCACAGGCTCTTCAGGCTTGCCTGCTGGGGATCATACTATCCAGTCATGATGTTGTTTATGACATCACACCAAACATTTCTTTCCCGAGTGTTTTGTAAAATTTTGGTAGTTTAAATATAACATCTTTTCATGACTCATCATACGCAGTATCTTCTCGAACTGAAGAGTTACAGCCAGGGAGTAGTAAAATACCTACTCACTGGTCATTGTATAGCGATAATAGAACTGACAAAAACCCGTAACACAAGGCAACAACACCTCAGCAAGAGCTAGAAGCCGGAGGCTAACAAAGCAATGACACTGAGCTGAGGAATGGCGAGTCAAACCGAAGTGCCCGTATTTAGAATTATGGGGTGGAGAGGAATGGATGTCTACTACATGTACGGCGTGCTTTGATGTTGCACTGGGCAGCAACTAACTACGACATACATGTACTTGTTTGCAGTCAATGTATGCTGACTGACAGTACTCACCGCCGGTGGTTGAGGTTCTTCTGCATCTTCTTAAAGTACGACGCCATCGACAGCAGCTTAAGCGTCGAGTGGCGAATGAACATCGAGTAGTCGTTCACAATGCTGAATGAGCTGCCGCGTGAACAGACGCAAAGATCACAGGCACTCAACCAACACAACCAACTGATGCTATCTTAACCCTTTCAGCCCTGACTGGAAAATCACCTCCCACTGGGCCAAAAATGGCAATTTTTGAAAATGCATATTCTGGTCCAAAATTGGTTGGAGATGTTGGGTATGGACATATGCAAAGTGAATGCAAAGAAATTTTGTAGGATTTCATTGTACGAGACTCAGAACACCATATTTAGATATGCGACTTTTGGCGATTTTTCCTCAAAATTCATTCAATTTGGGCAATTGATGACAAAGATCAGACAAGCAATGGCAAGCAGTGCTATAATTGGTCAGTGTTGACTTCAGAATGGAGAAATGTCATAATTATAACATGCTTGATATGATCCTGGTGTTCTACGGCAACCTAGACTAGAGTACAGCAACTCGTTTTATACGGCGCTTGCATCATATGCGACTTCGCGATCCAGAATGGGTCTTTCTTTTCTTGGGCGCCTCGTAAAGCTTGAATCCTCCAGCAGCCCTACCTACTTCAAGACAAAACCATGTGATGGACAATGAGGATGCCGAGTAACTGGAGTAGCAACCACAGCAACTGCATCGGCTATAATAGCAGCCGGTGCAGTGGCAGCGGTTGGCTCACTGTGCTCGGCGCATCCCAGGGTGATTCATCTCTGGCCGCACGCGTACGTACGTACGCGGCACAGGTAAAGTCATATTGATGGAGAATGCAATGCTGCTCATTCTCTGATTTGGACACTCACTGGCAAGACAATCCAGCTATCAAAATAGTCTGAAGCATTCCCTAAACAGCCGAGTGCATACTGCGTACCGGTGTACGTACGCATGAAAATTCAAGAAACAATCGGCTGCGCAATTATTTCTGATAGTGATTCAAAATTGCACAATTGTTGACTATTCTGGATTATTCTGGATTCATATTAGATAGCAATCTCCATCCTGTAGGTGCCTGGCTCTGTACTCAACATACAATACTTACATGTATGCACATCTCTATTGTGATCTGCATGCATGCCTGACCAGTACACTTGACTTCAAATTCAAATATTTTCAAAAATCTGACCTTCAAATTTGATTGCAGTTTGCTTGAGGAATTTCAGCAAACAGGCTCACGACACATAGCTCCTGCTCAGAACACCATGCCTAGGTGTCAGAGACTTCAGCATCGCTTTCCAAATTTCTTTGGTCTCCAGCATCCCCTGCGTCCGAGTCGGCTGCGATCTTTTGAATAGCAGCAAATTCGTAATCCTCAGAAAACGACTCCGACACAATTTCGCTGTCTCCAGAATCATCCTCAGAGTCATTACCCGCCTAACACTGCTTCACAGGACTCCTTCCAACGACACAGAGTAGTTGAGCAACTTACCTTGCCAAGAAACAGCAGGGCAAGATGACGAAAACGAACTTTGAGCAAAACAATTTATTTGAACGATATGCCAAAAATACGCACTTCAAACTCGATGCTCGCAGCTGTTCTGCTGTGCAGACTGGCCACATAGTGACATACGCTGCGTACACGTCGATCAGGGCCTTCAGCCCACTGAGGAACAGTTCCAGGCCCCACTGATGTTGAGGCATCAGTACAAACGCGACGTACACTGAGGACGTATATATACGTCGTCAGTGGGGCAGGTGCACACGTCATGACGTATATATACGTCGACAGTGGTGAAAGGGTTAAGTTCGGTATTTGGAGAGAATACCCTACAAATGACGGTCAAGAGCACCTCGAACTACGAGTAATGTTATCCAAGTGTTTGTCCCTTGTAGGCACTCGTGATAATGAGTATGTGTAGTATGCATGTGCCAGTCACCTTGCTAGCGACCTGCCGTCATACTCGTTCTCGGCCAAGTAGCTACTGCGTCGCTTGTGATGCAGCGGAGGTGTGGCGTGGCGACGTGGATCGATACCTGTAGGTGGACACGTAGGAAGAAGGTTAAACATGTTTCCTGGATCACCAAGTAGTCTTTCCTATTGGTCTACTCCACATAACCATGCCAAACCAACAGCAATAGAAGTTGTGCGAATAATTTCATGGGGGTGAGTCAAGTAGGCTTTTTGTGGGCACTAAGTATACAGCGGAACCGCTTATGGGCGCTACGTATGCAGCGTAAGCTGCTAGCTATTGCAGCGCTGTGCTGTGACTTCGCCAAAGCATCTCAACTGGTGATACAATCGCATAACCTTTATACATTGAGTGGAGAGCTAACATCCACTGGGCAAGGTCAACAGTTAACACCATTCAACAAATGATGCACTTGAGACCTACCTGAGTCGTTGTCCAGTGGAATCAGCAGATCGAGCAGGGGCAGGCAGTTGACTGAGCTGAGCTGTGTAGCGAAGCGGCGTTCCGTCGGAGCACCCAGGAGATCTTCCAACAGGTTCAGGCACGGCAACTACAAACCAGTGCAATCAAACAAAGCAAAAGAGTTTGCCGAAGCAACGAGCTGAAGAACTACTACACATCCTGCAACAGATAATATATCTTATAACGGCAGTAGAAAGTCAGGCACGGGAAACAAGTGGTGTTAGCATTCACTTCAAATGAACATGTCGGCTTTGGGGGCTATCTAGTGCTTGTGAGCAAATTAGCTACTGATGATAGCTACTACGTTGTAGAGCTGTGCATGCTCTTTGTAGCTTAAACAGTAATAATTTTGAGGAGACTGCACTGTACTATACCAGTCAGTTGACGTTGGATATACAGTACCTCAGCTAGAGTGTAGAGATGTGTTGGTGTCCCCTGGAGGTATGTTACACTGCAGTTTCACTGTACATGAACCATTGTGGGCTAAGTGAACAGTGATCCCATCACACCACCACAGTTAAAAGCATAGTCAAGATGACAGGGGAACGTAGTCATCAAAGAGTACAGTTGTTTAATAGTAGCTCTCACCTGCAGAGCTCTTGGTGTGTTGCACATTGATATGACAACGTTCAGCATGCCGGCACTGATAGCAGCCTTGCGGGACTTCAGACCATCCACCTGTGAAGCGAAGCAACGCCACAGGATAGTACCAATTTGAGATCTATGAAGGTAATGACTCGGAAGTAAAAAACTGTAAAATAATACTGAACTGTTCTCTTGTTATCCTGTGTGTGGATGTTATGAGCATGGTAAACAGTGGTTAGGAAAATGTGTGTGTGTGTGGGGGGGGGGGGGAGATAGAGATAGAGACAGACAGAGAGACAGACAGATTGACAGACAGAAAGTCAGACAGACAGACTAGCACGCGGCTCAGTGGGCTCCGTACCTCAAACATGTTCTGCAGCAGATGCGCAATCTTGCTGAGATCCTCGATCCCAGTGTTAGGGGCATGAGCCATGGCCACCAGCCTGTCGGCATTCGATGGCAATGCCAGGTGTGCCAGTAGCTCTTGGTGACATTCCGGATTGCGTGACAACATGTAGAGTAGATGCAGTATAGCACTGGATGCAGACTCCTCGCTGTTATCCTCCTCTTCTTGGTCGATCAGTGCATCTCTCAAACGTTCCTGTGACGTGTCCGTTAGGTTGCCGCTGCGGCTTACAGACGGTCGGCCATCGTCACTGGACGTTGTCCCAGTGGACGTGCCGAACAAGGCAGGTTGAGAAAGAGAGTGCTTGTTACGCTGCAGTGGAGACGGCCGCAGCTCGGGCCGCTCGACGCCGAGCTGGTTCTGTTTCGGCGTGAGCCGCGACTGACTCCAGTCGCTGGACGACGAGAGTGACTTGGGCGGTGTGTTGCGCGGTGATGATGTGATGTGCTCCGACGCATTCCGCGCTACGGTCGCGACCGGCATAGGTTTGCGAGTCAAGGCAGACTTTGATCGTCGCAGCATTATGGAGCTGTCGGACTCCACTGAGCGTTTCTCATCCAACGAGCTTCCTCCTCCCTTCTCAGGGCTTGGCGACACAGATGATGGCTGGTCCGCCGAATCAGTTCTCTTGTGCCGCTTTACCACTCTCTTTGGTATTGCAGTCACAGGAGATGTCACGGGCTCTCTGGTGGAATCAATCACCGGCGAGTCGTGTTTTGGACTGCTCTCTTTCTTGGCAACTGCTTCTGGTGCTGCAGCTGCTGGCGCAGTCCTTGTAGGAGACTCCTTGCTTTTACTCTCATCTGAAGACAAGACATGAGAAGGCAACAATATAACTTTTTTCTTCCTTTCGAGCATGCTTGCAAGTGTTGAGGTTTGGAGAGAAAGAAGCAGTCGGCGAGTGGCCTATAACTTCCTAACAATAGAAGTGACATCAGAAGTATTCTGCAATAGGGCATATCAGGGCTGCATGGCTGAAAGCAAAGATGCAATTGGCACTGCAAATGTAGCAGTACTCTAACACAATGCACACGTAGGTATTGTTCGGAGTAACAACCGGGCATCCAGCAGAACAGTGTAGTACACATACACTGGCTTAGACGGTTCTAGTGCTGCATCACTATATTCCACAAGCGAAGATTTGAGTCTGTTTCTGTTCAATAGCCTGGTACTGCTGCTGCCGTCAGGTGTATGGCTGCCTTTGTATAAAGCGTTCATTCACATCAGTATCTGAGTTGCTCGTATCGAACGATGTCATAAGCACAGCAATGGATCGCATGTCTATACTAAATGCATAGCCAATACGGTGCCGGCATAGTTCAAATTATCTCTACTGGTATGACTGTTGGACTACACGTAGTGGTGTTGAATAGGGGCGTATCAACGGTAGGCGTAGGTCCTCCGACTGCTTTGGAGGCGCTGACTCACACCTCTACTAAATGCATCGCTAATACTATTCAAATGATCTCTACTTTTGAAGTCTAGGAACTTTGAAGCTCTATTGCAGCCTTGTTGTCTTTTACTTCACCTCCAATCCGCAACACACAACCAGTCCTTGGCTATACCACGTACAGAAATTGTTTCCAAATTTTCATCCAGGAGGGCATTATCATGGAAGTGAAGCAAAAGATGATGACTACTGATAATATTATTATGACTGCTACATGTAGTGGTGTTGAATAGAGGCTTACCGGTGGTAGCAGGAGGTCCTCCAACCGCTTTTGAGGCGCTGACTCGTCGTGACATGGGCCGTGACGGCATGTCTCGCTCGCCGTTGCTGCTCGCTCGTGTGCTGAGCTGCTCCATCTCCCTGTCCATCAGCTGATCTAACTGCTCCTTGATGACGCTGCTGTTGGAGCGCGGGATGTGCAGTGGTGGCAGGTCACCTCCCGGTATGGTCAAGTGCGCCTGGTTGCTGGGACTGCTACCGGTTGTCACCTCCTGTAACAGGCAACGACACACAGGGTTTAGTGGTTGATTTTTCTTTTGACCAGACGAGACCAGACGAGACGACGCTTGCAGACACCAACACGAGCACTGCACCAGTCACACTCCACAAAAGCTGAAAGTTGCTCCTGACAAGCCTTGTTTCGTTCCATTATGATGTTCCATCGTTCCATTATGATGTTGGGAACTCATCAGATCACTGAGGATTTAGTCTGACTGTGTACTGAACACCTAGTCCAGGGCATCCAGAAAAGCCGGCTGTCATTGGATTTATATAGACAGGCGGTCTTCCTACACAGATATACCGTATATTGAACCCGGAGGGAAGATTAATCTAATGTGTGTAGAAACATGAAGACCAGGCTTATGTGCCAAATTCCGGCATCCTCAGGATAGGGCACGTATATATAAACATGCTTCTACCCAACGGCCAGTACTAGACACGTTGTACAGGCAGCCGACGTTAAAATGCAAACTACCTCCCAAACTAACCCGATATGTCTCGTCCAGCTGCTTCAAGCTCTCTTGCTTCAGCCTGGCCTGTGCATCCCAAGACGTGGCGTCGCCGTTGCCACGGGTATCTTCAACTAGTGCCGCCATGGCCTTCATGTCGGCGCTGAATGGCTCTCCATCTGCGAAGACCAAAGGGAGCCAGCACAAGTAGCAACATGGGATTACGTGTGTGAGCCTGTCAACAGTTTTTAACTCCCCGAGGCCAGAGGTACGGTACCAGTGTGAACATCTTTGTGTGATCGCTAAGATGAACACAATTGATATCTCAGACACCAACTTGTGTAACATTACAATGGTTGTTCTCCCCGCAGTCATCTCCATGTATCCGTTGTGTGAGCACAGCACCATACTCGTACTAGGGAAGGCTTGTATAGGATAATAAAATAAATTTCAGGGTTCGCGTGAGACTCGGCTGGAAGCCGAGTTTTCCGTATCCGCCGTGGGAACGCCACCACCCTCTAGGATCAAAGGCGCAGATGCAGCGCCTAAACGGTGGGAGGTGAGTAGATCAGACCCACCACCAAGTGGTCAAAGACCGAAATCCCATTGTATAGCATGGTATGTGACTATGCGTACAGTGGTCATACAATCATTATGTTCATGTGGGTAACGCCGCTACAGGGTTTGCTTGCCGGCATTAACACAATTCAGTGTGCTGCCAAACAAGGTCTGTCCGTACCTTCAAGTTCATTGAATGGTGTTGTTGGCGGAGCAAATGGAGCATGAGGACTGCTGAGACCTGACGAATGACGATCATCGGATGCCTCCAAGATGTCTGCAATCGTCGTCACCTGGGTATCAGAATAGGCAGGTGGGAATGCCTGGTTAGTGTGAGCGTGCAGGTGCATGCATGTCCGTGCTCCATTTCTGTTGTGCTGCTGACATATACAGCCCCATGAATAGACTATGGGCCACATTTACCCGCAATGCATGTACTTTCATGTGCCGCTGTTTCATTTCCACAAGCAAACAAAATGGATTAAGAAGAGGAGCTTTTTAAGAATGTTCAAATTCACCCACGTCCAATAGCATGCCGTTATGAATTTCAAGCCAGCATGGCCGTACACTGAGAATCTCACCTCTGGTGATGGAACCAGGGCTGTTGTGGTCTCGGTCTCATCCTCTTCTGCTGTTGTTGTGAGGCTTGGCAGCTTGGACAGGGCACCGGAGAGCGAGGACACCAGGCGTTTCTGCATCTCCTTCAACTCCTGCAGGAAATACGCAGTACAGCATGCAGACACAATCACGGGTGTTTTGATCAAACTGTGCCAGTCCTATTCCTGCTCGCCGGCATATACGTGCTTGCGCGTGGATGTATTTTAATATGAACCCCTGCAAATATATGCGGCATGCACTAACGCTATGCACTGTTAGTATGTGCAAGGATTGTGACCTATGGTCGAAATGCTTAAAAAAACACGAGCCGTTCTGAAGATGTCCTCTCTGAACTGCTAGTGTCGCTATCAATAACTGGTTGGTAGCCTCCTGACTCACGGGTAGAATATCCGTAGGTTTGACCTTGGCTTTGCTCTCCACGCCGATAGCTGCGCCATGCTCTACCAGTGCATAGGTGCATTCCAGGTAGCGTCCTTGCTGGGCAGTAACGCAGTGATGCAGCGGAGTAGAGCTGCACATGATCGAAACAGAAGACATCATCGGAAGTATTGGTATTGCATGGTGATATCATTCCTATGGTAACATTATCAAATTATTGGTACAGCACTTTCTCACGAGGAAAATTGTGTTTGTCAACCATCCCAAGGAGAGCAGAAAGTTGGTATTCATAGATGCGTGGTCTTTTACACGGCTCTGCATCGCATTGTCTTGATGCATGGTCCAATATCTGAATATAGTCTACATGTACCCTGGTCTCGGCTTGGTCGAACACTCTTTCTGGTGAGCATTCGAAGTTTTCCTGCCCTCGTGCAAAGCTCACGGTGCTTTTCGCAGTTAGTGCGCTCTGATTTTGATGCTTTGAGTCGGTTTAGAAAAAAAGTGCTTTGTTGTTTGCTGGCGTTCATTGTGATAGGTTCGGCCAGTCACTCCAAGCTCTGCTGAGGGGACCTGACAAGGTCCAAGCAGCTAGACCTCCAGAGTTTGAACGTGCCTGTACGTACACTGCATTCTTTTCATCAATAGTGGTGCCCGCTTACCCCCAGTGATCGACGGCGTTGATCTCAGCGTTCAGCTTGAGCAGCAGGCGCAGCACGTCCCTGCAGCCACGCACCGCACAGCGATGCAGCGGCGTCCATCCAAACATGTCGCGTGTCTCAAGCCGACAGCCACTGCAACGAACAGTATAAGAGCGCAGCAATAGCATCAACGACAACAAAGACAACAACAATATCTTTAAAAGATTTGAAACGGTAGCAGCAGAGTTCCAAGGCTGGTATGTATTCAAAGTCACTGTAAATGCTTCGAGCATACATCTGTTATACTTGTGACATACTTCTTTCTTAGGTGTTTAACCCTAGCAACTACCCTTTAAAGAGCTACCTGCATTATCTACTTCTCCACCGCAGTAGTGTCTCACCTTTTGGAGAGTATCTTGACGGCATCAGCATTCTCCAGTGCCGCGGCGTAATGCATGAGGTTGTGGTTGCTGCCATCTTCTCCGTTTGCCGGGATTGTCGTCTCGAGAAGTAGCTGCAACTTCTCATTGTCGCCACTGTGGGTAGGAACAAAGAGACTCAACATGTCGCTATTGCTAGGCGTACAATCATATTGCTATAGGGTGTGACAACTCTTCTTGTGAGTATCCAGCGGAAATTGCGAGGTGTCCTGGACCGTTAAAAAGCGCTAACCAAAATGGAGGAGTTACTTCTGTTTCAACTGTTCAACTGTTGGCTATTCTACCACTTCAACATGACACCACAAGCTCTTCACACATTGAAGTGTGGAAACACTGCTGCTCACCTGCCGATTGCGTACAGCGCCGCCTGGTAGTCGTTGTCTGCTTCGCTGCTGCTCCGTAACCTGAAGGAGAAACGGGGAAGCGGGGAGTGATAACTGTCAGTTTCCGGTGCCTAATTGTCACACTATCTGACATATAATCTCGTTACCTTGGTGGACTGTTGGTCATAACTTGTAACAATGTGGTCCTTCCTCTTTTAAATGATAACAGTGTTTGACAATAATTATGACAATGTAGTCTTCTAGTGGGCAGGAGTATAGTAGCCATTGAGTCTGGATAGTGAGCTTTGCTTTGGCTGCCTGGAGTCTATTTCAGTTGACCGCTCATCTTCCGATTTAAATGAAGGTGAGAATGAGTTGCTTGTAATGATACCAGATAGCTTGCACAGTGTCAGTTGCATGGCCAGACCCATCCACATGGAGTGGTGCAAGCCGGTATGAGGCGGAGCAAAAAGCAGTACAAATTTCTACCCTGGCTGAAACAGATCAATCTGAAACTGGAAGCAGAATCATCGGGCATTATACACAGTACCTGCAGTTGCTCCTCAGCTGTGCGTTGCTCAATATCAGCTGACTGGTCTCGGTGGAGAGGTCGGACGCGTGCACACCACTGTTCTCGTCCAGCTCTGCCTCGACGGCCAGCGCTGCCTGTGAGTGATGTGGCAATGTGTTGCCAGGACTGGAGTAGGCTTGTGAGCTGCCCGATGCTTCAGAGCCTATCACCAGAGAAACGGAAACACATCACCGATCAAAAGATATCGCATAGGAAAGGGAGAAAATCCAAGTGGAAAAAATGTTCTGAATATCAATATCTTGTGAGTATTAGATGGGACACAGGTTGACATTCCCCAACTTTAGGTGAGCAGTACACAGGACAACAGTAACTGACCAATTGATGACGCCATGCTGAGCGTGTTGTGATGACGCAGCTCCGGCGTGACGTGGTGCACGGTCTCGTTCTGACGCTCCTGCACCGTGCCGAGACTGCCAGACAGGTGGCTTGGCGACATGCCTGCGCTGACTGGACGACCTGACACAACAACAACAACAACATGCAGCAACAACAAGCTATCGTAAAGATTACCTGTATCCACTAGCTGAGTGAAAGGAAAAGGGAAAAAGTCTGAGGAAAAAATGGAATGTCACCACCAGGACTCGAACCAGGGACCTTTGCTTGAGGCAAGCTATGCTCTACCCACTGAGCTATGGTGTAGCTACATTAACTGTACTCCCAGTGATTCCAATGCACGCACACAGACAACGGTAACCTGCGGGTCCAGTAAGCTATTGAGTACACTGGACTAGGTCCAGATATTCGCACTGCCCAGCCAGGCGCCAGTGCAACTTATGCATGATCATCGACAAAGATACCTGCGAGTTCAATGAGCTATTGAGTAATTATGACCGCCTAGCCAGGCGCCAATACAACTTACCTCCGTGGTGGCCGCTGAGTGCGGACAAGGAGCCGGACAGGCCGCTGTGTATGCTGACGTTGCTCTGACGGCTGTGTGTGCCACCACCACCACCACCGCCGTGTGAAGTGTGCAGGGCGCTATGACTACCGTGATGGTGTGACGTGTCCGTACCACGACCACTGTCAGCCTGCATGGCACAAAAGAGACAAACACATACACACACATAACATACACACGCCCAACGATGGCCGTGAAATGATTCGTAGCAAACTCTGAGCTGGTGACTCGGAAGTACAGCGTAGGTAGGTAGTTCTGTGATTCTTGAACTATGACCAGGCGACATACTGTACAGCTGAAAACTCTTTATAAAAATGGCCAACATCAAGTAGGCATAGTGTGATAACACGGGTACTACCGTGTCACTAAATAAGATCCGAATGAGGAATGGTTGCTATTATTTCTTGCTAAGGCACACGATGCATCACTTACCTCATTCAGAGACCGTCGTCGGCGTGCCGGAGGACTGGGACTGCTGGACGACATGGATAGTACAGCGTTGCTATCCGTGTCATGTCGGCTGAAGATGCTGCCTTCGTTGCGCTCCACGGTGGAGCTGCTGTTGCCAGGCCGCATCATGGACTTCTGGCCGAGCTCCATGAACGTATAGGCGATGCACTGTACCAGTCGATAGGCCTATACAGCATACACACAGAGTAGAATTGATCCTTGACGGTGGGTGCATTCCATACACACAGAGTATGAATATGAAGGCTTGGCGGTGGTGGCGTTCCGATTTTTTTCACGGTTTGTGCCGCGAGACTCGGCTGGAGGCCGGGTCTTCCGTATCCGTAGCAACGCCACCACACTCTATGGATCAAGGCGCAGATGCAGCTCCTAAAACGTTTCCTTTGGATGGGGAGAAGTCTAACTGAGTCTCACGCGAACTGTGAGATTATTCGGATCATGAGTTTGGTGTGTCAAGCCGCAGAGCAAGCATTATCAGGCACATTAAGAGTACAAAACCAGGTTATATACTCTTGGTCACATCAGGAGTACATAATTATAGTTATGAACTCTTGGTCACATCAGGAGTACATATGTAGTTATGTACTCTTGGTCACATCAGGAGTACATATGTAGTTATGTACTCTTGGTCACATCAGGAGTACATATGTAGTTATGTACTCTTGGTCACATCAGGAGTACATATGTAGTTATGTACTCTTGGTCACATCAGGAGTACATATGTAGTTATATACTCTTGGTCACATCAGGAGTACATATGTAGTTGTATACTCTTGGTCACATCAGGAGTACATATGTAGTTATATACTCTTGGTCACATCAGGAGTACATATGTAGTTATATACTCTTGGTCACATCAGGAGTACATAACTATAGTTATGAACTCTTGGTCACATGCATCACGCAAAACTGAGTTTCCCAGCGTGCACACATGTACGCACGTAGCATTCGTCTTCTTAATAGTGTCCTCGAGGTGGTGCGTCCATGACATGTCATAATGTGGTAGCTGCCAGCAACGCAGTTGTCATTGTCCCAACTGTGTGTCTATAGGTGATGTCGCGATGAGCTCATCAACTCACTCATTCACTGCGTTGCACTGCCATACAGTGAACAATGAAGGAGCGTCATACTGCCGAGTCAGACCTGCTTTTGACATATATCCTGAGCAGAGTGTTGAATTGTAATTTTGTAATGAATGGACTGCCGGAGAGCAAGGCAAACATCCGTGCATTGCAGGTCCGATGAGCGCTTTCTTTTGACAGTCATCACGACTCTGAGCATTGTCTGCACTTACAGTGAGTTAGAATGATGATGTGACTCAATGAACTGCAGTTGGGACAGGACTGACTCAAAGGCACAAACTCGGTATGGCAGTTCCACACATGAGTCTTGCCTACTTTCAATGAGCTAGTGTTCAATGAGAACATGCAGAGGAACCGTCTTCCTGTCAAAGTCATGTGCATGTACTGAGAAGCTAGACCGTTTCCTAAGATGTCTTTCTCGTAGATTGTGTAATGTTTCATAGAAATGAAACAGTGGGTAAAATATCCCACAAAGAAATCCCTACACCAGAAACACTTGCAGCAGCTCCACGATTTGCAGGATTTGAACGTGCCCCCCCCCCCCATGATAATTAATTACGAAAATATTTCGGAAATCACTTTCCAGAATTTACAATGGAGCGGACACAACCAGCTGTTTCCCTGCCGAGGCTCACCACTTTGGATAGTACGGAAGCTGCAGAAGCACCGCCATTGCACTGTGCACACAACCACGTTGCTGGCCAAAGAAATCCAACCTCATGAATAAAATAGCATTGCCGGGCACTACGCAGCCCTAGCACTACACATACTGGTCTGTGCACTCGAACATGGCGCAACTTTATTCATGAGGTTGGATTTCTCTGGTCAGTACTGTATGTTCTAGACTGTCTTTTTAAGATGTTGACCATATAACATGATGCCGGCCCGGGTCTGAGCACGCTTACCTCTGTATGGTTCTTAGCGCGGAACACATGGCACCAGTGCACACGCCGCTGGGCTATCTGCCCGCTGCTCATGCGAATCGGCGCCAGCTCCGTCATGTTCAGGGCAAAGTGCTCGGTGCCCGTGTTCGCCGACTTGGACTTGCCGTACAGGTTCTCCTGCAGGCACATGGCGATCGTGCTGCAGTGCGCTCGGAATATTGGCACCCGCTCTCTCTGCTGCCGCGGCGTGCTGTCCGATCCACTGGAGCGTACGCTGGACGACGACGAGTTCGGATAGTCTATCGAGTCGTCCAGGACCTCTCCGCGGCCAGAGCTCTGTCGCCCGTTGCTCTTTAGCCGACTATGTCTACTGTGACTGCTGCTAGTATTACTACCGCCTGCTGCACTCTTGCCTCCTGTCTCGTCTCCAATTGTGCTGTTACTGCCTGTGGATCCACTGCCTGCACCCTCATACAGCGTTAGCTGATCACGCTTCAAACAGAACTCTACCAATCTGGCGTGCTTTCCGGGCACAAGCGACTTCCCCGCCTTGCTCTTCAGCTCGCCAATGGTGGCGATCATGGTCGGGATGGACTTCGAGTCCGACACCTGCAGCGCGCCGAGATAGTACACTTCGGCGGTGATCTCCGATGTGGGGAGACCCTGCTGGGGTGTTCCACCAGTGCTGCCCTGACGCTGGCTCTGGCTGGCCTTGCGTCGTTCGCCATCAGAGCGCTGCTTTTGCTGTTGCTGTTGGGCAGCCGCATCGCCAACCGATTTTCGTCTGAACGGCCACATCCTATTCCAAACTGGCCTCGAATTCCTACTCAGTCCTCGCCTAGTGTCAGCGAGCAGTTATTCCATACTACTCCACCGAACACCAACGTGCTGGTCGCAACAATTCTGCTCCACCATCACTCCGGGCCTCTCCAGAAAGCTCATTTTCTCAAGCACAGGGCACTTGACGCATGGGCCGCGAATTACTGGCGTTCCTTTCGTCCTAACAATGTGATTGAGAAAAATCTGTCAACAGAAACCTTCTTTGCGCGGTGACTGCGCCCGGACTACCATCGACTTCCTTTCGTTTGACGTCGGTACACAAACGGGATGCTTCTCGATCTCTCTGGGTCGGAGAAGCCAGCTCCACAACAACAAGTAGTTCTGCTTACAATCCTATCGCTGTGACCCGTTCTATCCCAGGATCTGTTGAGCCTGTGGAGACCGGCCCTATCGGACAGTAGAATACGAAAGCGGCGGTAGGGAGACTACTAGTAGCACTGGACTGGTGGTCGAACAATTCTACTACACAATAATGCAGACGAAATTCATCCAGTCATTCGCACACTGACTTTGCCTAGAACATGCAGTGCACGAATGGTCCCGAGTGGAGTCTGCACCGTCCCAGCGACTACGCCTTCGAATGAGACCGGGATTTTCAACGGTCAGCTAGATATGGATTATAATTATGGTCCGAGTTGTCTGACACACCGCAATCTCACTCACATACTCTCGAGTTCCACCACGCATTACATCGATTCTACACTAGATCATACACGACTGTTTCGTGTGCAGTGAAATCAGCTTCTTCTTCTAGTTCTAGTCTAGACATCTCTCACAATCACACATTGTCTGTTGGGGTTGACACGTCGTGCACCTTTCGTACCTGTTATGGCCTGCGACAGGGCAGCGTCCATTCGTCAGCATGCACTGGTCAACAAGGCCAACGATGCGTAATGTCAAGCGCTGGCCGCAGCGCTGACCAACCTGTCTAGCCAGACGTCAAGTTGTTTACGCTTTTCAGGATTGTCCGGATAGGGGCGAACACGTAGCATGCTTGCACGATCGACCGCTGTTCAAGTATTAGTTGACGGCTCGTTCGCGTGGTGGAGTATGAGTCCAACGAGCGCTATCGGTCACATGTACAGTACCATGTGTGCAGCTTTATCAGTGAATCGCTGGAGGGATTCGCAGCCCCGACGAACTACGGAGTAATGCAGCTTGAGAGGCTGCTGCTTGGTTGCCGGGCCAGAAGTGTCTTTCCAACAAAAGACAGTACGAAAGTAGCGTATGAGCACATTGCATGCGGCAGCAGGCGGGTATTATTACATTGAAGGTGCAGTTGACTGAACGACCGAGTACTAGTAAACACATTTGCCTGCAGGTTACAATGCGGGTCACGGAATAAGTCAACAGGTGCTTCAGATCAGAACACAAAGGCTTGAGGCAGCAGTATCTATGGAGTATCTGTGGAGAATGGTGCCAGTAACCCGTGTCAGTTGCTCCGACCTACAAAACGAGTACTCGGAGTAGAGGGGACTGGAGGGTCTACCATCAACCAAAACGTGACATTTGAGGAGTGCATGTTCTGGTACCAGTCACCTGCCCTGGCCACGCAGGATGTTCTTCATCGCTATCCAGGCCCCTTGTCCCGGGCCATGACCACATCGAACATGTCCGTTCATGGGTTATGAAGTAAATAGTTGAGTTATAGAAGAATGATAGCCATGCTAAAGCAGCTCCTTAACCGCGCCAGTTTCCGCTTCTCGGCACCGCAGTCCCCGTTTATGCTGGTAGGAATTGGATGTAGTTACCTATATTCCTTGTTTCTCTACTCTGTACTGAACCTTTCAAGTCAGGTGCGGAGGCGTCAAATGTGTCCGAGCTGCGGTGCCTTTCACTACGAGACACTGCTTGTCCGTCCTCCACCTCCAGCGTAGGAAGCTGATGTCGCAGTGTGTTGTGCGCGCAACCCCCAGCAGGCACAAAGGAAGAAAGGGGGAAGGACTTCTGCGTGCTGGGGAGTGGCCTGGGAATAGAGTGCATGTAAATATTGCCTCGCCTTTCTCGACTGTGGCATGACAGAGGCAGGCTTGGCTGCTGTGTTTGTTTACAAAGACTGAGAGAGCCAATCAGGGGGTGAAACTGATAATTCGGCAATAATTCATTGCACTTTCCAGATGCGCCGAAGCTGCCATCCGCGCTCGCATGCATACTTATGTCATGGAAGGTTTTCCTAGCACGTCCAGGCTTTTCCCTTGTGCGCGCGTCGTGTTTTCTCAGCAGTTTGGCAGTTCAGGGAGCGATTGCTAGCGCAGGCTTTCCAGATGACTCCCAGGTGTTATTCAGCTAGGCAGTTCACATCATGAATCCCTGTGAGTCATTCTGTCACAACCTGCCAGCAGCTTGCTCAGATTATCTGCAGGGTCTGAGCATGCAGCTTGCGAGAAATGTTGACGCGGCCTGAGCGGTGCACAATCATCATGCTAGTTATTACAGATTACCATCTTGCACATTAGATCCTCTTTCTCCAGCAGTTCTGCAATTCTGCTGTTGGACAGCAGAGCGAGCAGGTATTTAATCAGTGGTCCTGCATCATTCCTTCGGCGATTGGGCGCGTTTTGGTTCGGTCAGATAGCAACAAGTACCATGACATGCTGAAGCAAGCAACACACGCGGCCGCTGTATGCCAGCTGTGTGGATGTACACTGTAGCTGTCTGGTGACTTTGGCGTCGATATTGTCGCCCACAGATTGCAGCAGCATTAAAATTTGGATATCAAGAATGAGAATTTACTACAATGTTTACTGTGCGTGCATTGCTAGGACAATGAATTCCAATCGAAGCCTCAAGGTAATCTGGACTGTTGAGAGGACGGAGAACACTGCTAATATAAAATCAATACCTTCGGACTCGGTCTCCATTCTGCGTGAGTTTGTGTGTCGGCATTGAATTTGAAGTCAGGCAGCGGTATGCACATGCTGAGTGCTGAGAACCTACATGTGCATCGTGTGAAGCGGTCACGGGTGCTACAACACAAAATGTACATTTATAGCTACGTTCTATCCGATCGGCTGTATCCAAAGCGAAACGCTGGGAATGAGGTCAGGAAAGGGTTTGTTGGAAACAATGAGCCCACAGCACTGCACGCGTGAAAACGCGAAGGAATAGACCGCAGAGCAAGCAAGCCTTCCCATGTCTACTCGCCGGTCCGGAACCATATAATTCGTCCATCCAAATTCTGCATCAGTAAGCTCAGGCGGGAGTCCGGAGACTTGTCTCACCATTCTTGCCTATTACAGCCAACCATCAGGGTGACATACCTTCGGCTCAACAGCCTGTCCATTACAGCCGACGGACTCTGCATCCGAGGTCACATGACTGCACATGGGAAAGCATATCCAGGGCCCCACTGTACGTGTTAACACCAATACTGAGTCCATAACACCATGAACATCAAGAAGAGAGGAAAGATAGTACACTGTAAGTCCTACGGTCACCATGACGTGCCTACAGGATCATCAGGCAACTACATGATTGTACATGATACATATACGTACTGGTCGTCAAGTTAGGCGAGCCGAACATTTTTAAGAGCGAGTGAGGAGGTGAGATCGACTTCGGGTGATCTAACACAGACTGCATATAAACCACTTCGTGCAACTAAACCATGAGATGTTTGTCACACTAGCTGAGTTTCACATCTAACGCGAAAGTGAGAGCCTATCCCAGCGCTGTATCCTGCAAGGGGACAAACAAAGGATGAAGATTAGGTCCAACACATCCAGTGGTCGGTTGAGAGGAGAAGGTTACTTTGGTTGTTTGGTTGGATAAGCCGCATTTAGAAAAGAAAGGACAAGAATTTGTTGAGTCTTTAGGCCAACTATAATCACAACGCTGCACCTAACATCCTGTGTCGATCTGACCCGGATCGTGCTTCAATGAGGCTTTCCGCCTAGGAGTTAAATTTTCATCCATTTCTCATCCAGTAATATGCATTTTGGAGACGTGACCTGTTCATACCGGTATAGTACTTTGGACGAAAAACACATCCTTCAATACTGCAATATCAAATGCTTTGAGAATTTCACCTTGCTTAGTTTCTTGCGTCCATACTATACCATATAAATTTTTTACCATGTCAAATACAATATCCTATTCATTATCACCTTCTCTGATGAGCCTTTAGTAGGCAAAACAGCTGTCAGAAGGAATATTATCAGTAACAATACTTGAAGCAGTGCCGGCATATTGGGCGATACGTCATCAAGCCGAGAAGGCCACAGAGATTTCTGATTTACTTTAGTGGCATTAGCGTGATAAGCTGGTACTTCATGTGGTTATGTTTATTCTTGTGAATCTTCTCCACGCTTTTAGGCTTTTAGCACTATCCTGATTATTGTCACACAGACTTACGTTAGTCCAGAGTGTTCATGTAACATTGTTTGTCAGGTACTAGTATGTAACCTTTGTTTTCAAGTCAAAGTGGCTTGATTCCTGTGGACAGGCCTGCCCTGAATAGTCGAATAGTACCGTGAGTACATTATTTTAATCACTTGTTTTAGCTTGGAGTCGAGATCGTTTCAATCGATTCGTTTGCCGTGCAAGATGACGTATGGAGATGATGGTCACGGCGCAGTCTTCACCGTGATGTAGAGAAAGGTGCTTTCCCTGAATCCCTGCACAAATTTAGAAATAGCGAATTCGGCGGTACTTGCACTACAGTAGTAATAGACTAATAGTCAACTTCGCTAACTTAACTACATTGTACTCCGTCAGTTACGCTCCCTCCGGTCTATTCTTATACATACATGTTCATTGGGGTCGACAGTGTTGTGTGTTTCTTCTGTACCGTACGTCTCTGTGTGTACATGTACTTGTGGTCGGATTTTTTTAAGAGCGTATACTCATCCGGGGATACTCAGAGATATCTCCGGGGTTGACGCGCCAACTGTGCGAGGCTTTCAAGTGCAATCGAATCCGCAAGTAGTACATAAGAGAATGCATGCCAGCCGTTCTTGTGGCTTGGAGCGCTTAGCAGGAATGGTCCGATGGCAATCCTCCAGTGTATGGCACTGTATTCACCCCGGTTGCGCTCTTAGCGAAGAGAAGTGTTTATTTGTCAACAGTACTTCTCCCGGCTGTAACCTTCCACGTTCTCCGACGCCGGACAATCATAGATTCATATTGAAGAGCACCGTCTACTGTACACTGAATATTGATTGATATGCTGCAGTAATCTACTTTTGCTAATGAGTAATTACAGTACATGTACATGTGCCTGTGTCTGTTCACGTGGTCCCGTCTAGAACATACATGTACGTCATTTCAATTCGAAATTGATTAACATGTACATGTACCTGTTGTGGGACTGAGGACCAATGGCACCTAGTCATAGTGTTTACCCCAGCCACCAACATGAGGAGAGTGCTGGTCACATGTACTGGGAAAGGGGTGTTAGCAGTAGGTGTGTGTTATCCCCTGTACGGGATTAGTATCTCCATTAAGACTTTGCTTCCTTTTTGCTATCACTGTATCAGTGCCTAGCTAGCAGATGCCGATATGATAACGCTCTTCGGCTGTACATGTAGCTGCAGGATGATATTGGTAGCTGTACTGCAGCAGGTGCGGTGAAAATATACAGAGTGCATCAGATAGCTGCATGCATGTTGACATCGGGATAACGTGCTCGGGGCAATTTTCCTAGTTTGTCAACATGTCACTAGGACTGGGGGTCTATGACGAGTGAGGCTAAACAGATCCAATTCAGGACAACCGAGATCAATGGATAGTAGCTGATGTTGTGATGTTTCGACAATGAAGCGTCGCGGAACTGCTCAGCATTGTCGTGATAGGGGAAATTCCGGCCAATCTTTCCCCGCGATTCACAGGATG